GTCATTGACTTGAAAATTTCCCCTGATTCTGCTAGTAACAACCAAAGACATCCATATATGCAAAGACATCAAATCTAATAAATTAGATTACAAATGAAATGATGTGTAAAGTATTGAATACATGACGGTAAACCAGAGTGGACATTTCAGCAAGACAATAATCCAAAACGCAGCCAAGGAAACTCTCAAACGCTTTCAGAGAAAGAAAATCAAGCTGTAGAATGGCCCAGCCAATCCCCTGAATCAAATCAAATCCAGCTCTTTATATAAAGTATTAAATACATCTCAGTAGCTTAATGCTTTCTCTTTATGTCATTTCATTGTTATTACACAATTCATTTTGCGAATTGTTTTTGTTTGTTTTTTTATGTTTGGATTGTTTGGGTTTTTAGCAAAATCTGGTTAAATTCCATGTCAACAGCTCCTTTAAAAATATTATTCCCAGGAAAAACATGATGCGTTCAATTTTTATTTTCCCTCTGTATATTAAAACCTATCAAATCACCACCAGCATGTTAAAACGCAAAACTATTACCTGTATATATATATATATATATATATATATATATATATATATATAGTAGTTAAAATACAGTATGTCTGTCAAACTAAACAACCATAGTGTGCTAAACCATTTACAGTATTTAAAACAATATTCAAAACTTGCCTTTATGTCTAGACAGACTGACAGGACAGATCTTATCTTGAGTGCTCTGCAATAATAATTCCCAGTACTACTGTATAAACAAACTTAACTATACAGCATGTCTGTGAATACCGGTCTTTTCCATAACCTTTTCTTAACATCTGTCTGTGTCTCTTTCAGGTGTCTGGCCTTCAGAAGAGGTGATGGCCTACTACTGCCTGAAGAAACGCCACATGTTTACGTAAGATCTGTCTCTTTCTTTCTATCTATCTATCTCTCTCTCTCTCTTCCTCTCTCAATTTAGTTTAATTCAAAAGTGCTTTATTGGCATGACTTGTCAAGTATTGCCAAAGCATTGCAGATTACATAAACAATGAATAAAATTGTAAAAGCGCTTATATAATACTTATTTACATACAGAAAGGAAAAGACAAAGAACAAATCACAATTAGAATTTGGATAAATACACACAAATTAGAAAGAAAGAATAAAGACTTACGTGATAACTAAAAAGATAATGAAAAAGAAAAAATAATATTATTAATATTGAAATACTGTCGAATTAGATGAAATACAATATGCAAATGTACAGTCATTTAGATGGTTTGTAATGTAGTTTCGGATTAGTTTTGTCCACTAGTTTTGGCTCATTCTCTGTCTGTATGACAGACTTATATACTATCTTGTTGATGGAGTTCTCTCCCAAGATATGCCTCAGTCTTTCTGTTTTTGTTAAAGATGTAAAAATTTGCTGTAATTATTTGTGAATTGAAGAAGTATCTCTCTCTTTATCTCTCTCATTTATTTTCAAGCTGCTTAGGAACCTAAATTAATGGGATGAAAATTATTTGGATGAATAAAATATTCATTTGCATGTACTATTTTATAAATTATTTCGATAGGTACATCTAAACTGGCAGTGTTATTTAATAGAAACAGCTATACGCAGAAAAATAAAGATTTACAAATGTCATTACAGGTCCTGAAGAAATGTTGAAGTGGTTAATAGCAGAGAGGTTGAATTTACTTATAAAAGTAAGCTGCTATAATTGATGTGCTTTCTGTGCAACAGGGTGTAAATGTAGTTCGTGTGATTTTTTGTAAGTTTTGTGAATTTGCTTATATTAATGATTAGTGGTGTAAATAACCAAATTACAAACACCCAAATTACTTTAATTGAGTAGTTATTCTCAGGAATTGCACTTTACTAAGTAGTTTAAAAGGTTTACGTTTACTTTCCCTTGAATACAGCTTTAGTGCTGTATCGGTACATTTACTCCATTATTTTCCTTCAACCTGCAGTCACCACTTTATTTCTTTCTAGTACAAAAAGCTGAAAAAAATTGGAAAAACCAGTTCTGTGATTCCTGGTCCAATCAAATCGCACATAGAAAAAAAAAATCACATCATACTAAACAACCTCAAGGCATGTGTACTTTATTAATGCAGCAAACTATTTGAAAGCATTAAAAGTGTCCAAGAAGATGTCCAAAACATTTACACGCAATGATCAAGGGATTGTTCAGACTGCATGCTACTGATGAGAAGATGAAGAATGTTTTGAAATCGCAAAATGGTCTTTAACGGTAACTCAATGCACTACAGAATGTTACGTTTTCACACACATGCACAAATAGCATGTAAACGCATCAGCCATTCACAGTATATATAAATTTCATATTAGGACAAGCAAAAATGGCAATATACTTGAGTAGGAGGCACAAGATTTTGTATGAGACCAATCATAAAGTTGAACTGATTTTTAAAGGGCTCATAAAGGCAAGAATTTTAATTTGTATTTGTCAATGAATGAGTCGGACAAGTTTGAAGGCATGTGGAGTGTAAAAAATACGTTGTGTTGGGTTGCAAATAATTTATAGATTTTTGATGAAAATATTGTGTGATTTAAAAATGTGTTTGTTTAAATCAATGAAACATGTTGTAGTTTAAAATTTTGTATTAAATAAAGGTGTATTCAAATTTCTCTCTCTCTCTCTGTCTCTCTCTCTCTCTCTCTCTCTCTCTCTCTCTCTCTCTCTCTCTCTCTCTCTCTCTCTCTCTCTCTCTCTCTCTCTCTCTCTCTCTCTCTCTCTCTCTCTCTCTCTCTCACTCTCTCTCACTTTAGCCATATGACAGAAAGGCAAGGGGCACTTTTTGATTTGCACTCAAGGCGGTACACAAGCCTTTGATTTCCTGTTTTTACATTCAAGAGGCAGAGTAGGGAAGAGAGGCTTATCGATCACACAGCGGCAAGCTGAAGGTCAACTGGGCATATAGAGACAGAGCAGGTTTAGCGCCCCTGGGCCAATGTTCGTGCATCTACACAGGATGTTGAAACCTCTGGACCAGCGTATCGCTTTAGTGCATATTCAGTCTGCTAAATTAAAAACTGGAGTTCATTTGAGCATGTGTGTGTGGGTATTTGTGCGCGCACTGTATGTGTGTCTCTTGTTCCTGTATGTCATCAAGGACTGTCACCCTCTCGCTATCTTCCAGACCTGTTATCAGGCACTCACCAAAAAGAGAAAAAGAGGAGGATAACGCAGAAAAAAAGTCAATTTACAGAGAGCGCCCATCTCTTCTCTTTATCCCTCTAGTTTTTTCGCTTTTCTTTCCACTAGCCCAACGTACAGCCAAATAGCTACCTGTCACTGGGGCTTTGTCCCCGCCGCGGCTCATACTAGCAGTTTTGTGCGCATTAATTTTTAATTGCACTCCCTCATACAACAATCGCTCTCTCTTCATCCTCCACTCCGTCTCTCTGTCAATGGAAGGTGTCGGATCACAGGCTGAGAGCAGACAAACACATGGAGACTGTTGTCACTGAGCGCACAAATGACTGGCAAAATGATGAAGTCTAGCTGCCGGTGTGCGCGCGTGTGTGTGTGTGTGTGAGGAGGCTGTTTTGGGCTGCTTTTGATCTACAAGGACTCTCTACTGTATATTTTGTGTATGACAAACACAAATGAACTCTATGCAAATTATAGTCGTTGTGTAAAGCCTTCATTCCTGTGGGAATTATATGAATTTCCTTTCATATGAATTATTCTGTTCGGGTGCTGTACTGTAGGTCTCTGTGTTAACGGTAAAGGTTTGTGTGTGTGTGTCGTTCATGGTGTGACTTATAAATCATGTTCTGATAGGAAAAGGCTATGCTGAATGCAATATGAATTAAAGAATTGTGTATGTTGTTGATGTGTGGTTTGAAGGCTTTTTATGTTGTCAAACTCTCCAGATGCTAACATTGTTGATTATAAGCATGCAACATATTATTTTGACTTCTGAAAGATGTATTAGAAAGCAATAGCCAGTTAGAATGTCGGAGTTAAAAAAAAATGTAAAGACATATTGATAGATGGTGCATTCAACAACTCTGAACTCATGGTCATGTCTTGAAATGGTCAATGTGTCACCACTTACAGTGAAAATGAAGGAATTTTGCAAAACATCAAAACATTGCGCAACCTCTGCTTATGAAAACATCAAATACATTCACAAATAAATGAATGTGGGCTTGTGTTTTTACATGCATGCATTCAATATTAGACATTTTTAAACTACAGTATGGGAAGTGTTTTATTGCCATGTTAGGTCATGCCTAATTATTGCAAAACATAGATATATACAGTGCTCAGCATAATTGAGTACAGCCCATTTTGAAAATGAATGTTTTCATCAATTTCTCAGTGAAAATAGGCAATGTATTTTGGTGCATTTAAAGAGCCCCTATTTTGTATTATAAAAGGTCATATTTTGGTTTTGGGGGTCTTCGTCAACAGGCTGATATGCATGAAAGGTCAAAGCTTTATTTTACCTAGTTCTCCCAACGACTCCTATATGATTCGTTCAGCGATTCATTTGTTCCCAAACCCTTCCCTAAGGCTGACTTATGCTTCTGCGTCAAAAGCATGTATAGCCCTCGCCGTGGCCGACGGCATCGCTGAAGTGCACCTCTCAAAAAATGTAACTACATGTCGCAACGTCATGTAGCGCAAGCTCTGTGAATGGTCGGCTTGGAAGCGCTGACAAATGTGTGAGTGGGGCCGAGAGCCGTGCGAGTCCGCTGGAGCGACTGTTCACAAGTGTTGACTGTTTACAAGGAGCTCCGGATGGAGACTGTGGCTTTGTGTTTACCTTATGGTTAAAGTGTCTGCCAGTTCCTGCCTCAAAATGAGCGAGTTTGAACCACTTGTACATTAAGGAAGCGTTGAGAAAAAACAAAACACCAGCGAAGAAACTCGACACAGAGGAACATAAAGTCCTCACTGCCGGCTAGCGTTTTGGAAATTTTATTGCAGAGCAACAGAAACAGTGCAGAAGTATGATTGCATAGCTACTCGCGTTGCATGCGCCGTGGGTCATGCCGAACACATGACGTAAAAGTGCAAACCAGGTTTTAGCGCGAAGTTTATCTGTGCTAATTGGACTGATGACACAGTCTGTTGTCATTGGCTGACTGCATTCAGTGTGAGATGGAGAGTAATGCCAACCATGGCAATTAAGTAGCAGAGAGAGCCCAATGCAGGAATCCAATAAAGCAATGCAGTTAAACACCAGCATATTCCTCTACTCTTAAACCTAACCCCACATAATAACAACAACACACCTTCAGTATTAATCCACAAAGTGCCAAAAGATAAACTATTTTGAAAATTGACCATAGTAAATGCAAACAGCAGAGGATCAGTAATGTGTTTAAATTGGCAAAGAAAGAAGCATGTGTTGCGTTTTCAACATGGTTTTGGACGCAATATGTGAATAACCCCATGAAGGTTTAACCTGAGAGATATAGTAAAATCACTGATCTTTAGCAGATAAGTGATTACAAGCCATGTGGGGCGATTACAACTTTTAACACACAATTAAACACATATTTTGCAAACTACACAAAACGAGGCAACAATTTTAATTACACGTACATGTTATGATCCGGAGGAAGAAGCAACTGCTCCATATGAACTGTAAAAGTTACTGAAAAAGGTCCCATACATAATAGTCTCTGCTGCTCCTTCCTCTAATGACAAATGGCCGGTGAATCCTGTGCTGCAGCGTTGGTTATTGTATCAAAAAAAATAAAATGAAAAATGACAGGAACAAATACAGCACATGGTTGGCTATACTGTGGCATTGTTGTGAAAATGAACTTTAACCCTTTATTCCTCACAACTGAATCTCCATCTATCAGTGATCATCATCTTCCTGTCATGATCAGTCCCGTGATCCCCCGTGGGTCCACACTGTGCTAGTGTCTAAAGGGAAAGCGCGTTCACATTAGACCGGAACCGGTACTATATATTTGGGGATCTACCATATCAACGTCGATGCGTTCAAGCAAAAGATCCAAACCCAAATCAAATCATTCATTTGACTATGAGTCGACTATTTCGTTAAAGTATCAACAGTTTTAAACACAGCACACTTTCAGATTTAAACCTCAGCTGGATGTTTTTTATTAACTTGGAGCTTTGTTATACACTGCATGGAAGGTCATTCTCAAGAACCCTTATTAGGGGCTCTTTAGACAAAACAGATTTATTAAACAGATGTATTTAATAAAATAATATTTTAGTCACCAAACATATTTAAAAATCGAAAGACAATACAATTAAATTCAATTAGGTTCAATTTTATTTTGCTTCTCTTGATTTTACCTCTTTCTTCAATTTGTATTTAATATTTTTCTATAACATATCAATTTGGGTGTAGTCATTTTTGAACCGTTATTGTAAGTTATTTTGTTAGATAAGCTCCAGAGTTGGCTTCAGTACTGACTAATCTAATGTGTATGCACACATAATATTGTAGAGCTTCCTATTAAAAATATGAATTTAAAACAGAGACTGAGGGGTGTACTTATACACGCTGAGCACTGTATACACAATCGATACATAAGTATATATTGACATTATGCATATAACTACAGTCCAGAGTTCTGACAAGCTTTGACCCTTCCAAATTGTTGCACAGCTTACATTTAGCTTGTCATAGAAATAGCCACTGGTAAATCCAAGGTAAACGTCACTATATATACACAAGGGTCAGCATACAGTGTGTGTGATGTGAATTTCAGCATCAGAATAATATGGCAGCTTTTTCTGAATTTCTACATGCAGGTTATGAATAATTAGTTATTTTTATTGGCTATCATATTATTATTATTATTATTATTATTATTATTATTTGTCAATGGCTTGAACAAAATCTCAAAAATAAAGCATAACAAAAAAATTACTGTCTCCTGCCCATCCATATTTTTTAACTGAATCTGAAAAGGTCAAAGTGCTTTGCAAGAAGAGTTTCTTGGATCCGTCATCTATCATTTCCAGCGTAATTTGGTGCGACAGTAGTTGTTGCACTCTATGTCATATTCCTTTTTTACATTTTCTATCAAGTGGCATCCTACATTATTGTTCAATACTGCAACCCACTACTAGTGTGTGTGTATGAGTGTGTGTGTGTGTGTGTGTTTGTGTGTACGTGTTTTTGTGACATATCAGGACACAAATCTGTATAATGACATAGGTATGACACAAGTGTTACAAAAAGGAGGTGAAATATGAGGACATATCCTCATTTCTCAAAAAGCTTATAAATCACACAGGATGAGTTTAATCGTGTAAAGCTGCACAGTCTCCTGTGATGGTTGGGTTTAGGGGTAGGGTGGGTCGTGGGCAATACAATATACAGTTTGAACAGTATAAAATGAATGAAAACCTATGAAATGTACCCACTTTTCACAAAAACAAAAGTGGCTTCGTGTGTGTGTGTGTGTGTGTGTGTGTGAGAGAGAGAGAGAGAGAGAGAGAGAGAGAGAGAGAGTTTCAATCAGATAGTTACTGTTACACTTACTTATGTATACATTTTCGCAAATGTGAAATATGTTACACATGGTAGATTTTGTTATACATTTCAAATGCATGTCCTTCTTGTACACGTTCACGAAAAGGTGGGAGTTGTCGTAAAGATCACCTTGTGAACCACTGATCAAAACCCATTTTTAAAAGCAAATTGTGACAATATTGTTTACCTTGATTTTACATTGATTTTATCTTATTTGTGGATCTGTAAACTACACTTTACAATGTACTACATCGTAGTGAGCTACCAAGAAAAATAAAATAGGTGAGCCAAACATATTTTATTATAAATAATTGTCATCTTTAAGGTGTTTCATAGTATTTATTTTTTGTTGTGCAAAAATCTGCACAAAAAGAATAATTTCACTGTAAATATAATAACTTTGAAAAGGAACAAAGGTTGTTGCCATTAACCCTTATGTTCTGTTGGGGATGTTTTCATCCACTCTGGGGTACTTTTTAAGTCTTAATTTGGCCATTTTTTTGTGTGTGTGTTTCAGCTAGCAGTATGATTTTGGTGGCAAATCTTATTTTAAAACATATTTTGAGAAAATGCTTTGAATGAAAAAAACAACAACTCAACAATACATTAGTAGTGCAAATTTACTACCCTTTTATTATGTTAGAGATTAAAACATCAACTAAATTTAAATGCTGTAAAAATCAGATACATTTTTTTAAATCAACCTCAGTTCTGATCAAAACTATTAAATTGCTTAGAAAATTACACGATTTTTAACTCTTTAAATGGCAAATTCTTCAATAAAAAACACAAAATTGCATATTTTCAATATAAAAAGTAATTATTAATTTTACCCTTATTACAGTCTTGGACATGTGAAACAACATTGACTTTGATGCATTGTTATTTATTTATTTATTTATTTATTTTTCTCCCTAATTTTATGTTGGTGGCTTTTTTTGCCCTATTGACTTCCATTATAACCACTTTTTTTTATTACAAAACCATGACACCATATAATCATGCATTTTTGAGTGTTGGTGGTTTTCCAAGTTGGGAAGAGGTAGAATTAGTAAATTGTACTGTTAATCAATTGGCACCATTGACTCTTTAGATAGGCTTGTACCAAAAAAAAGCTTAGTTTCTGGATTTTGGAGTAATTAAACCGTGTGTACGTGTGTCTGTGAGTGTGAGACTGACCTTTGCACACTTACCTTGATGTGTCTGAGAAAATCAAAACATGCATCTGATGGAGGGAAGTAAATGGAGTAAATAAAAACAAAAACGGTGTATTTACGGCACCATCAACTGTAGTTATAATGGAAGTCAATGGGGCAAAAACAGCCACCGACGGTAATTTAGGGAGAAAAAGTGAAAATCGAGCAATGCATCAAAGCATGTTGTTACTAATCTTTCACATGTCCAAGACTGTGATAAATGCTAAAAAAAATCCAGTCCACAATTACTTTTTATATCAAAAAACTTAATTTTGTAGGTTTTTTCCCATTAAATCTGTGACATCGTTTGTGAACTTGCCAATTAAGGAGTTAAAATCCTGTAATTTTTAAAACACACATTTTAATCAGGAAATTATTATTTATTTTTATTTGTTTTTTTTTTAATAAATCTGTTTATCAACCTCTGAACCATTGATTTTTTTTTATTTATTTATTCAGTGGATGTTTTCATCTCTAACAAACAAAAGGGTAGTACATTTGAATAGTGCACAAGGGTTAAACTGCCCCATAGTGTTCATTTTAGCCATGAACTCCAGTCAAATGTATGTTGAAGTATGTTTTTGCAGATTTACAAAAAATGTAGACTGAATGATCTATTTTATGTATTTTTGGTTAAAAAACATTGGACAATATAACATTATGCATAAAAAAATGATGTAGCAAAAACTAAAAAGTAACTGATGCGAAAAGAACCATAGGAAAAAAAAACTGTCATGCAGGGAATTCTGGGAAATGCAACACCCCGAAAGCAATCAAATCAATCTGACTACCTCTGGAAGTGGTTAAAAATTGACCAGCTCAAAACTATTCACCATTTGCACCTCATCGTTATAAAACGGAACTACAGACACAATCCAGTATAATAGAAAAATGATCCTATACTTGTAATCAACTTCCTGTTCTTGCTGTTTTCACAAATGCACATTTCCACCAGAAAAAAAAGCACAATTGCACTTTCTTTTGTAAACACATATAAACCCACTCGCATGCAGAGAGGAAGGTTGAGATCAATGAGCCCAGTGGAATTGCATTGCAATCAATGGCATCCCCCAACACGGCCAAGTTAATTAGCGTTATTGTCAAGACACAACAGCCATCTTTCTCTCTCTTCCTCTTTGTTAATCACTCTCATCTTCCTCTCTTCTTCTTGTTTGAGCTCAAAAACTTCATTTTCATCCTCGTGTACTACCGTTTTAACATTAAACAGCTCAGCAGGCTCCTCTGTGTCTCTCTGTCTTTCAGGGGTTCCTCGGTCTGTGAGCTGGGTGGAGGAATGACATGTCTCGCCGGCCTCATGGTAAGTCAAAAGTGAATGCAAAAATGGCATACAGTGTGCTCACACAGACAGGCAATCACAGGCAAATGGGCAATTTGCATCAGCATGGGTAATCTAACATGGGCAACATGAAATCGGCCGGCGCACATTGACATTTCTACCTAAGTGACCATAAACACACGTGGCCCACTGGACTGACTTCATCAAAAGCACTCAAACACACGGCGAGCATATGTACGCACTTTCTCTGATGCACACACACACACATGTTTTGGTGGTTTACGAGGATTCTCCTTAGGTGTAATGTATTTTATACTAGGAATGCAACAAAAGGTAAACTGAAATTTTGGATGCACTTGACCAATTTTTTGGTAATTTGATTTCATAATAATTATTTAATATTTAATTAAATTATTTAATTTTGTTTCAAAATCTCGATTAATGGGCGAAGCAGTGGCGCAGTAGGTAGTGCTGTCGCCTCACAGCAAGAAGGTCGCTGGGTCGCTGGTTCGATCCTCGGCTCAGTTGGTGTTTCTGTGTGGAGTTTGCATGTTCTTCCTGCGTTCGCGTGGGTTTCCTCCGGGTGCTCCGGTTTCCCCCACAGTTCAAAGACATGCGATGCAGGTGAATTGGGTAGGCTAAATTGTCTGTTGTGTGTGTGTGTGTGTGTGTGTGTGTGTGTGTGTGTGTGTGTGTGTGTGTGTGTGTGTGTGTGTGTGTGTGTGTGTGTGTGTGTGTGTGTGTGTGTGAAATGTGTGTGTGGATGTTTCCCAAAGATGGGTTGCGGCTGGAAGGGCATCCGCTTCATAAAAGTGTGCTGGATAAGTTGGCGGTTCATTCCGCTGTGGCGACCCTAGATTAATAAAGGGACTAAGCAGACAAGAAAATGAATGAATGAATCTCGATTAATTAAACATTTTAACTCTATTACGATTAACGAATGGTTATTTTATCGCCCAGCCCTATCAGCAACTTAGATTATGTTGATAAAAAAAAAAAACACTAACTAATGAAATAATCGCATCTGTGACCCTGCACCACAAAACCAACCGTCTTATGTTGCACAAGTACACAAGTACATTTGGCAATAGCCATAAAGACATTGTATGGGTCAAAATGATTTTTCTTTAATGACAATAATTATTAGAATATTAAGTAAAGAACATGTTTCATGAAAATATTTAGTAAATTTTCTACTATAAATATATCAAAAAGCAATTTTTAATTAGTATTATGCATGGCTAAACATTTTATTTCGACAGCTTTGAAGGCAATTTTCCCAATATTTATTTATTTTTTAACTTTTAGATTGTAGATATCTAAATTGTTAAAGGTTCACGAAACCCTTGAGTACTTTTTTTGAGTAATTTTTTAATCAGATTTGTGTGTGTTGAGCATCAGTTAAGACAATGTTAGCACCTGTCAGCTTTAATTGCAGGGAAAACTGAATAATTTTGAGCTTTTGTCAGCTAATTTCAGCTTCCGAGTTTAAAAGGATTTTTGGGGCGGGATCAAATCAGTGACGTAGCGCAGAACTGCAAGTGCAAAGATGACACGTCGTTTTCTCATTATTATTATTTATAGCTGAGTTTTCTTTTCCTATGAGAAGAGCCGGGTTCTTAATTATTCATGAGAGCACGAGCTTTCCGAAGACAAACCAGACCTGCGAGTGCCAAGCTGTAAAACCCTACCTTGATGACTTTGTGAAATCGCGTCCACAGACCCATGACACACAGTATTTAGCAGTTCATGAAGGGTCTTATGTGTTTGTTTCCATGATCCACGGGGTTTGTTGCATTTTTTTTTCCGCAATCCTGTCAGGGCCGATACAGCAAAGCTGTTTGTGTGCAGCAAGCATTTTTGTTCGGAGAGCAGTACGAGAATTAAAGAATGGCGGACGTTGTCTTTTATCAGGAATTCGTTCACATTTAGACACATTGTGATGCTGTTGTGTTCGCCTAAATCCTCTAGACTACCAGCAGAACTAATGGCTAAAATAGACAGGGCAAGAAACCTGCTGCACTGAGTCTGCATTTAGACCCAAAGATTGAGGAAAAATTGCTTTTTTATAGTGTTTATATGAACACGATTATCTTTATAATGACATAGATTGTGGTTATGTGTATCTGAAATTACAAATAACAAATGTAGCAGGGCATTAAATTACAGTTAATGTATTTGCATTTTAACTTTGTAAACTATAAAATCATAAGTCTCCTTGGTTTGTCCCTCATTTTTGCGAACCTACTGACAACAGTTGTTCGCTCCCCTCCTTCTCCCCTGCTCTGCTGACCACGCCCACAAATGCACATTTCCACCAGAAAAAAAGCACAATTCGGAGGTGGACCTGAACCAAAAGTGGGGGGTGTCATGGCCCTATAAATTTTGGCCAATTATTGTTCTATTCTAATAAACCCTTCATCAACGGAGAGGCATCAGTTTTCCAGCATTGCTATGACAGCAAAGTAGCTCTATTAAAGAAGCAGGAACAAGTACGCGACATAGAAATGTCCTGTCAGTGTGTTATTTGAGTGGACTTGTCCTGTGAGCATGTGTGGTTCATGCAAGAGGACTTGCCCTAGAGCAAGTGTTTCCAAACTTTTCACCTTGCAACCCCCGAAATAGCAATTCCAGAAACTTGACTATCCTTGTAGGTGGTTATAAACATTACCACACAACACATAACATAACATTGCACACAACAGTGCACACACACACCATTAGGAACTATATAAACAAGCTTATTGACAACACAAGAAAAGTGCAACAGTTTAACATTTAAACGCTGTAACATTAGCACAATGCGTACAGAACAAGACTAATCTTGGTTTAATTTTGGAAACTTGAATCCCCTATGTTCAGTCGTGGTCTTTATTATAATGTATGTGAGTGCCGTAAAGGTGTTAAAGTTTAACATTGTGCCATAAAATCTATCTGCTTCAACTAACACTACTGCTGTGTCAATAATCTAGCATATTATCCCCAGGGGTCGCAATCCAATGGAAAAAGAATTGAAAGGCTGATAGCTTTTTATTTGCATGCTGTTATTTTATGTAACTATTTAATACTATTTTTATGTTCGGTAGGCTATAGATAAAACATGAGAGTTCTTAAAGTTTAATAACAAATATGATATTTTTGGAAATCACCCAAACATAAAACTAAACCCTAACTCTAACCCCTCTACATTGTCTCGCGACCCTCACTTTGGGAACCACTGTTCTATAGACCTTTTTTTTGGAACGCAAAATTACCCATTATGCTTTGCGTGTATGCGCAAGGAGAATGCGAAGAACTTCCGGTCGGCAGCTGATTCTTGTAAACCGTCACATTTAGACAGCTTTGAATCGATAGTTTTAGTCTATTTTACCTGCTTTTATCCTCTTTGAACTAATACTGTTGTCCATCAGCACCATCTCCTGGACTGATCATTTAAAGAAATGCGATCTAATAGGATGGAAAACAGCTGCTGTGAGGCATTTTCCCCTCGTTGTCAGACAGCATCTTCTGCAGTTTAAATGAAGCCTCGTCATCGCTAAAGTCAACATTTTCTCTTTATTTCAAATATATAACCAGCCCAAACAAATGTAGGTAACCAAAATGTTTGACACATACATGTAGCCTGTACTGTGCCACTGACACACTGATTTAATAACTGTGACAAAGTGAAAATATAGGCTAGTGTCATTTTGAAATGACAGAAAAACACAAACCGTGCTAAAAACAACACACGAAATAAAACACAAACGGCTCGCGATTAGAATGAACAGCAAATCAGCCAGCAGAGTATCAATAACAGACTTTTATTGGTCATTTTTGTAAATTGCACAACTTTCATACCTGTTAAGTTTCATGCCAGTTGGCTTCATGCCATGGTTTGCGCTCTTTCTCTCTCTCTTTCTCTCTCTTTCTCTCTCTCTCTCTCTCTCTCTCTCTCTCTCTCTCTCTCTCTCTCTCTCTCTCTCCCTCTCTCTCTCTCTCTCTCTCTCTCTCTCTCTCTCTCTCTCTCCCTCTCTCTCTCTCTCTCTCTCTCTCTCTCTCTCTCTCTCTCTCTCTCTGTGTGTGTGTGTGTTAAAGAGCCGCTGAGCTAACAGCTGACAGGCCGGGAACGCACACACCCACAGTATTTCTGACGGCAGACACGTGAACTAGGAGAACGTTTTTCTCGTATTTCTGACACGCTTGAACCACATGTGACCGATTATAACGGCTTTAACAGACACATTTTAAGTTGTTTATCACAAAAACACTCTGTTATCCATTAAAAAACGTTATTGAAACCAATTTTCGGAGCCCAAATTACCAGTTGTACACGCTGTAAACGGAAGCTTTTAGCATTCTACCGGAAGACGCTGGTCGCTATGGCGCCCTTCATGCAGCAGCCATAAAAAAGGTCTATAGCGGGGGTTCTCAATGTCTGTCTTGGAGGGCTGGTATCCTGCAAAATTTAGTTCAAACCCCAATCAGAAACACTTGGGTTAGCTAATCAAGGTCTTACTAGGCTTTCTAGAAACATCCTTGCAGGTGTGTTGAGGCAAGTTGGAGCTAAAATCTGCAGGACACGGGCCCTCCAGGACCAAGTTTAGGAACCCTTGCCCTAGAGCAGACATGACCAACCCTGTTCTTGGAGATCGACCTTCCTGCAGATTTCAGTTGCAAACCATATCAAACACACCTGCCTGTAATTATCAAGTGCTGCTCAGGTCCTAATTAATTGGTTCAGGTGTGTTTGATCAGAATTGGAGCTGAACTATGCAGGAAGGTTGACCTTCAGGAACAGGGTTGAACACCACTGCCCTAGAGTGTATGGGGAATCCAAGAATAGAGTGGAATATTATGCTATTTTGATCTTTGACCACTTTGTGCACTCCGCTCTTGTATGTATGTACTCTTGTACATACAATGCAGAAAAAACTATTTGGCCTTTGCATAGTGCATTAATGTGAATGGTTATTCTGCGTCCGGTATACACCTATTTTTGGCTCATATTTTTGTCAATTTTTTATTTCCGGATGAAAACC